TTTAGCCATAACCTGTAACTTTAAAACTACACATCCCATCTTCATAATTACATATTTGGAATCAGCACACTTAAAACATAAACATAACCAAAAATCAGCCAAATCCATCCAGGGGTTAAAAAGTTAGCTGAGGTCCCTTTATGACCGACCGCAAGCACATTTTCCTGCCCAAAACAGTTCCATAGATTTGGGCTGTGAGGTCGGTCTATTTCAGGCTGAAATCCATCAAGTCCCATCGCCAATGGGACTTGGGTCTCTGCAGCTGAAATAAGGTTGAAAGACTAAGTCCCATCACCAATGGGACTTAGCGTCTCTGCAGCTGAAATAATTTCCCATTTACTGAACCAAGTGGAAATAGCAAGGCAGCAGGGTTTCAACCAGGTCTAGGACACAGGGACACTGCCTTAAAGGGGCCGTGGTCCCTCATCAAGTCTGGGGACACGGCCTTAAAGGGGCAGTGTCCCAATCTTCCTGATGTCCCAAAAAAGGGTGCTTTAAAGGGCCAGCACCAGTCACATAAAGAGTCCATAAGCCCCAATATGCCCACCGACAGTCTTAAAGGGCCATACACACCAAATAAAAGTGCATACATTTTCACAATCTCCCAGGGGCCATAGTCATGCGGGAGGAGGCTGGCAAATAGGCTTCTCCACAAACCAGGGAAGCAGGGCAATTTGCCATTTAAAGGGCCCGTTACAAATAGCAGTTTGTAACAAGGTGTCAATCCATATCTGCCAAGTGACCCGATGTAGGGGGACCAGTCCTTATTCTGCTCTGTGTCAGTGTGTATCAGGGAACCTTAGGACAGGTGTCAATCCATATCTGCCAAGTGACCCGATGTAGGGGGAACAGTCCCTATTCTGCTCTGTGTCAGTGTGTATCAGGGATCCTTAGGACAGGTGTCAATCCATATCTGCCAAGTGACCCTATGTAGGGGGACCAGTCTCTATTCTGCTCTGTGTCCGTGTGCATCAGGGCTCTGAGGACAGGTGTCAATCCATATGTCAAGGTGTCAATATGTCATATGTCAGGTGTCAATCCATGTTGATTGTGATTTAGGAATGTTAGGTGATTTCTGCCCTTTATGGATTAAAACCAGACTCTGTATCAACTGTGTAATTTTCCATGGGAGTTTTGCCATGGATCCCCCTCCGGCATGCCACAGTCCAGGTGTTAGTCCCCTTGAAACAACTTTTCCATCCCTATTGTGGCCAGAAAGAGTCCCTGTGTGTTTTAAAATTGGCCTCCCCATTGAAGTCAATGGCGTTTCGGGCGGTTCGCCGGTTCGCGAACATTTGCGGAAGTTCGCGTTCGCCGTTCGCGAACCGAAAATTTCGGGTTCGCGACATCACTACTCACTACACAGCAGCTGGTTGAAGTGTAAATATGTGACCGGGTCCTAACCTCCTCCCCCCCCCCTCACTACACAGCAGCCGGATCAATGTTTTGTAGGTCCCAGCTCCTAACCCCCCTTTCCCTCTCTCTCAGAGAGCGGGGAACCCCCCCCCAGGCTCGTGGCAGGTGACGGTAATACTCTTAAGACCCCCCACGGACCTAATTCACGGGGGTCTGCCTATTCTGCCACAATAGCCACATGAGTGGGGAAACCAACCCACCCACTCCCCACCCCAACCTACAAGTGCCCGGTCTCATAAAAAACTATTGAGAAAAAAAACAAACAAAAAAAAAAACGTCAGTTTTAAAAATTAAATAGGTTGCTAACTTTGCCTTGATGCCCTTTGTTAGGCTATCAGCAGCTTACAAATCTCTCCTCCTCCCCCCCCCTCCCCAGTCTTACTTACCTACAGACAGGGGTTCACTCACACCGGCAGAACTCCCTTCACAGCCTCAGCCAGAAAGCACGTCAGAATTACAGCAATGCTGACGGCAATACAAGTTGTAACCACTAGAGGTCGCCCTATAAATAGTAATGTTATCTGGTATATTTCAAATTCTGTGATATGGGTTAACAATGGCAATATTAAAAATGGTAAGAGTTATATATTACGTTAGGAATGATAAAGTATTCATTTAATTCATGCACAACCGGTGACGTATAGATTTGTGGAAACAACTGTTTAAAGTCAGATATAAGATGCTCTCGGGCACTAATTGTGATGTAATTATGTGACTGATCTACCTAATATGTGGATCTATGTGACTCAAGAATATATGCCATATACTCACACCACGGTTTCATTTAAATCTTCAGAATTACTTGCGTGGTTATAGACAAATTGCAAGTTCAAGAATATTTTCCCTTTATTTGGTGACTTGGTATACTGATTCCCCTGGCAGGGTCAGAGACCGAGACAAAGACAAGTATTATATTACTTCCTTGGTAGGTACAACATATGGGTGACGTATGTCCCATTAATCAGACATATGACACTCAGTGCATATGCTCACAAATGTATGCTGAGTGCACTTTATGCCAAGCAGATATTTGGGGCACTGCCAACGGTTCTACATGTGTTTACAGTCTCAAGAACCAAACTAAGACGGACTTGGCCTTCAGAACCTACTTACACGCAACCTACAACCATAGCACCGGGTTTAGGCCATCCTCACTAACAGTAATCAAACTACTACAGGACTGCCAGGCAAACGTTGGGCACTCAGGTAAGTTATGTCGGTTGCAGCAACCAGTATAAGAAACATCAACATGCCCACTTAAGTAATTCTCCTCCCAGGCACCTTCTGCCATAGGGTTAGAGGTCCCGCGAGGCCAACTTCCATCCTTGATGTAAGAGGTATCAAACCCCCATGGGCCAAATCATAGCTAGACGCCTCGCATGTTGCATAGCTAGGGCGTCATCCGTCATAACCCTCAATTAACGATTAAATCTCCACTGGTAAAACATGTACAACAGATCAACCCCACGCGCCAACCATAGTTAAATCCTACTAGCCACTTGGCATTTAATAGGGACTCACCTGCCACAAGTTTAATGAATTATTTCGCCACTTTGGCACTAGTTAAACATTTTACACTCTCCATAATGAAACTCACGATTACATACGTACATATTTCAGTATGTCCCAAGTTCATGAAGAAGGAGATGAACTATCAATGCCTAGTACACCGACCAGGACTGCCACCCCCACACGCAAAGGGGACATCGGCAGCCCGTCATCTATTAGATCATGGACCATCCCACGGATCACGGCCGAACTACGCAAACGTAGTATTCCTTATCCAGCTACGGCCCGCAAGGCAGAATTGTACAGGCTTATGCAAGCCAATCAGGACAATTCTGATGCCAGGGAAGGCACTAGTAATTCAAGCAATGCTAATCTGCATACCATGGTCGCCTCACTAGTGTCTTCCATGGGGCAGATTAATGAGAGACTGGAAAGACTGGAAGCTCGTAGCGGTCCAGTTGTGACACCAGAGCCACCTGCTACCGATATCCCAGGGCCATCACAAGCCCAACCTGGTAATCCTAATACCCCCACTGTCCTTGGGTCACAAGTGATCAACCCAGCCCATATGGTACCAGCAAACCTTAAAAAAGACATCCTGCAGGGCAAGGATGTAAATCTAGTCTCTCTGCTTATTGCCTCCCAGGATATCACAGAAAACCGCGCATATACGTATGGCGATATTTCTGTGGTCCTCAAGGCCAGAGATCCTAGACTAAGCAAAAAACTAGCAATCCCAGACTTCGTTATCACATTCGGCATATACAGGGACGTACTGTGCTCAGTTTACCCACAGAGAAGGGAAGAGTTAGACCTGTACATGCACAAGCTGGTAGACCTGGGCAACAAATACGGTGGGTCATCATTTTACGATTACCACCGTTCTTTTTCCACTAAAGCGGCAACAGCTCTCGCCCAATATAACGCAAGAATGGATTGGAGCCTAATGGATACAGAGCTGTTCCTCAGGCACTTTGCCGGGCTAAGGTCTCCAGCTTGTGCAATATATGGGGCTACCACGCATGCTGCAAATCTCTGTCCTGTCTCCACAGACGATGCCCCAAACAATGCCACACCAAGCACTTCCAGGGGGGAGAAACAGGGCAGAGACAAGCTGGGTCGCCCTATCGTGTATTTGGGCAAGTCACAGATCTGTAATAATTTTAATGTTGGGGCTTGCTCCTATAGTGCTTGCCGTCTACTGCATATCTGCTCCCATTGTTTCAGGGCACATGCAAAGGCTATGTGCCCTAATAAAATGCACATTAAACCCTACCTAACTACTGTGAATGTTGCTGTTCTGGCAGGGCTTCTCTCCAAGCACCCTTCTACACATCTTGTGGAGTATCTGATTGCAGGGTTTTCCCAAGGGTTTCATACTGGCCTCATTTACATACCAGGGGGTACATGGGAAGCCAACAACCTCCAGTCCGCCTTTTGTGACACAGACGCAGTAGACTACCTACTACAAATTGAACAAGACCAATGATTTGTCTTAGGTCCATTTATTGACCCGCCGTTCTCTAATTGGAGAACAAATCCCATTGGACTAGTCACTGGGAAAACCTCTAACAAACAAAGACTCATCATAGACCTGTCTGCTCCACATGCTTCAGTGATACCCAGTCTCAATTCCCTGATCCCGTCAGAGGCATTCTCTTTACAATACACCACCATAGACGACGCCATATCCACCATCATCTCAGCAGGCATAGGCGCATTGTTGAGCAAAACCGACATCGTTAACGCCTTTAAACTACTCCCCATACACCCGTCGCTGTGGCATTTGCATGGTATCAAATGGAGAGGCCAGTATTACTTCTTCACAAGGCTTACCTTCGGATCCAAGAGCAGTCCTAAAATATTTGACACTTTCGCAGAGACCTTGTGCTGGCTGCTCCTGAATACCAGCAGGTGCCATAGCGTCATTCATTACTTGGATGACTTCCTTTTCATAGAAAGTAACGCTACCCCCCCTAACAGTTTACACAAAGCCATGCATTTATTTAACACCATTGGGGTTCCAGTATCTCCCACCAAGACAGAAGGTCCAGATACGATCATTCAGTTTTTGGGGATACAACTGGACTCCATAAAAAATAATAAATACTTTATTTATATATAAATATTAATAAGACATTCCCCCTAATAACTACCAATAACACTGTAGTATGATATATAATATAATGTAGCTGTCTAAAGTAAACAGACAAATTAACAAACACACTACTGCTAATAGTGTATATATAGGGGAAGGGTAAGGGTAATAGGGAGAGAAACAATAATTAAAAACGTAATAACTGGTAACAATTACCAGCGTGATAGCTGGCAACGATTGCCAGAGTCTACCTATACAGCACAATTGATGCTGAAATCTTCAAGTGCCGATCTAAATGGTGATATCACTGTAAAACAAAATAAATACACTATCACACGAACATAGCGTCCGCACAATAATATCCGCTTGCTCTTGATAGTATTTATGATAAACAGACATCCACATTAAGATAGATATAATGTTTCACAAACATTCGTAACGTTTGCACAGTTGTAGCGATTTGCTGTATCAAATGGAACAAGCGTCCTTATTATAATTGATAAATTGTCACATAAAGATAGCCTTTGCACATTAGTATCCACTTGTAGTTTAATATATAAATATATTAATGAGGTAGCAACAGAACAGGGGAAAAGAGAAAGGTGCCTTCATGGGTACCCGTTATAGTAAAGAAAAGTTGAATATGAAATATGAATATGAAAATACACAAAAGTTGAATATGAAATACAGAGAGTAGAGCTAAGCTAAATAGCAAGTAAATCTAGACTAGTCAGATTGTTATTTGGCCAAGTACCCTGATCGGTATGCTAATAACTCAAAATATAGAGTATAGATATATAGTGGATAGTCCAAAATAAATGAATAACGGACTATGATGTAAAAATATAAATAGAACCTGATTGCGCAAGACTGAATGCAGATGGCTACAAAATTGCCGACATTCAAATGTTGATAGTAGACTATGAAAAAAAATGAAGCAAATGGTCTGAACAGGGTTACCTGTTTGAAGTTTTTTATGGGGAGTAGTATGTCAACTTCTCACCACAGTCTAAGAACTATATACCATCTAAAAAGCAAACAGGTAGCATAATATAAATATATCAAAATGATCTAACCCCTGGTCGGTGTGCTTATAGCACCAAATTAAATGCACATGGCTATACAGCCGCCAACGTGCCGATATTGATGATAAATTTGGGAAGAGTATAATGTATCAAACTCTCACCACAGTCTATGAACTTAATCTATCCAATATCCAAACCGTGTCGATCTAATATATAACACGATGTGTAACACGACGCGCGTTTCGCCTAATACTAAGGCTCATTGCCTAATACTAAGGCCCTGATGAGCCTTAGTATTAGGCGAAACGCGCGTCGGAGAGAACGTAAATGGAAGAGGGTCTGCTGTGCTGGGGGATAGGATGGCTAGAAGGTTGGAAGAGATTTTAAACTAGTGGTGGGGGGGAGGGTCAAAGCAATCTAGAAAATGGAGATAGGAGGGGAAAATGGAGAAAGGGGGTGGAGATGGGGGGAGGGGAAAACTCAGAACAGAGGAGGTATGTAATATTGATAATTCACAGAAAGTACAAAAGACTCATGATAATATTAAATGTATGCTTACTAATGCAAGGAGCCTATATAACAAAATGGGGGAACTAGAGGCAATAGCATACAATAAACAATATGATATAATAGGTATAACAGAAACATGGTGGGATGAGACACATGACTGGGCAGTTAATTTAAATGGGTACATGTTATTTAGGAAGGATAGGAAAAACAAGAAGGGTGGTGGGGTATGTTTATATGTCAACCATGAGTTAAAGTCAAATCTTAGGCATGTGGAGTGTGACGAGGAAAAGGTGGAGGCTTTATGGGTAGATATCTGCTTGGGGCAAACAAAAGGAAATCAATTATTGGTTGGGATATGTTATAAACCACCTAATGTAAATATTAATGAGGAAGAACAGCTGTTAGAGCAAATTGAGAAAGCTGCAAATCGAGGTAACACGTTAATTATTGGAGATTTTAATTATCCAGACATAAATTGGGAAAGAAGGACTAGTACTTCAGCAAGGGGCATCAGGTTTTTGAATGTGTTAAATGACACCTTTATGTCACAACTGGTACAAGCACCAACTAGAAAGGATGCTTGTCTGGATCTTGTCATAACAAACAATGTTGATCTTTTAACCAACATTCAAGTAGGGGAGCATTTGGGAAATAGTGATCACAATATGGTAAATTTTGAAATAAACTCAAAAAAGCAAAAGCAGGTGGGGTATACTAAAACATATAATTTTTAAAAAGCCAATTTCAATAAGATTAGGGCAGCTCTACAACATATCGACTGGCATAAACTCCTTAGTGATAAAAACACTGAGGAAAAATGGAAACTATTCAAACAAATATTAGAAAGGTACATTTCACAGTATGTACCATTGGGTAATAAATATAAAAGAAACAAATTAAAACCAATGTGGCTTAGTAGAGAAG